AAATATTGCTAATAGACCCAAAACGTTTTCATATTCTCAAATGCCAAACATCATAATCTATAAAATTCCGGGGTATTACATGTAATACTTATACCATTTTGAATATCTCATTTATTCTTAAAATTAAACACCACAAAATTTTTCCTCGTTAATCATACAAATTTTTACCTTTATTGATCAAGTGAGCACCAATGTTGTCTATAGTTCAATTGTCACCCTATTCGTTCGAACTACAAACAACTTACGCGGTTCACCAATAATGTATGTGCCTGCCCTATAATATTCGTCATATTTTGATAGATAGTCTCGGTCAATTTATTTGGACTGAGCTCGCTTTCTCCAAAAACCAAGAAGCAGCCTTTTAGGCAATCCCCTCCCCCGAGTAGCTGCTTGCCAATGGCAAGGTCTTATTAAATAATTTTTCCAACTGTAAAATTACCACCTCGCCTAGACAGTGAGATCACTTTGTGTGGATATACCTTAGAGGGAAAATGCTCGTGAGGCCATTTGAACCCACACTAGGATAAATATATTTTCGTCAGTTTTGCATTGAGTGTGAAGAACCAGAGGAAAATTTTATTATGATTCTTGTGCATGTTAATCGTATTTTTGGAGTCAGTTCAAACAGTGGTTCCTGTATACTAACCCACATCTTTATTGTGTGCTTTTTGAGAAACATCATTTCACTTTCTTGGGATTTACTGTGCATAAATGACTGAATTTTGGAGACATATTCATTGCTTCACTAATATAAGGTTTCAATATATCTGAGGTTAACATAATTTACCAATCATTCGTTTAATATAAGTAGGTTTTGACGATTAAGTGACAAGCAGATAGGACAACAGAAAGATGTTCTGTTAACTTGGATTGACTTGGTCCTAGGAGATGTACATTTATACATATTAATTTAATGTATCTTGCATCAAATTATTGAACTCCCAAAAGGAAGAGTTGAAGCCGAAGTTCGCTGCTAATTTGATCCCTATAGTTAATGCATTATTTTCTAGGTAGTCATTTTGTAATTGATTGCTTTAGTCAGAATTTGATAAGACATTATTCTTTTGACAATCTTGTGCAGAAGGATTCTTGACATTTAAACCCTCTATACCCAAGAGCTTGTTATTAGACGGCGAACATAACCTAGAGTCACACTTCGCTCTGGTTAATTACCAAGTATGTGCATGTAAATTTCTTTATAGTGATTCTTGGTAACATGATGAGAACCGTCCATATCTTGTTGTTCTAATCATCAACCAAAATGATTTCAGATCAAACAAATAAGGACTGCACTTGCCATTGCTTCATTATTGAATCGTACATTGGTGAGAACTGTTCTGCTTTTTTATTTTAAAATAGTTGTAGTAAGCTTAGTTTGGGAACTCTACTGTATGAAAAATAATGAAAACCTTTGCTTCAAATTATTAGCCTGATCAATTGTTGCTTCCTTTTTTCACACATTTATTATATAAAAAACAGAAAATTAAGTGACACCTTACTTTTCATGTATACAGAAAATACTGCTCATCTTAGCCTAACTTGGTGAGATAAAATTTTGGTCATGGGTCTGTATATCAACTTCTTCTACATTCTACATCAATTAATCCAAAGTTTACAATCCTGGAAAGAAAGAACAATCTGTATTTCTGACTGTTCAACTCAACATAGTACATCAGTTAAAATCTAAGGATCGTCCTATAATGTGGTTGAAGATGAGTTTTATTATGCCATTTCATGATAATTTCTTTCCTCGTAGTTTTTAGTAAAAGCATCTAGATAGAAAAAGATCACATATCTTTGATATTGATCTAACGGAGAAATTGTATCGACTTGTTGAATTTTCTAGTTGGTGACAGTTTCTGCTTTGAAGTTCATATTTTGATCTCTCTTTCATTATTTGTGATTTTAGGTAATGCCTCCACTATGGTGCAGGTTGGATAGACTGTGGTTTGGGCATCCTGGGGTTTTGGTGGGCACTTTGACAAGGCGACCATTTGTATGTCCATTGGATCACGTGTTTGAGGTATTTGATCAGTTTTCTGAACTTCGTGTGGCCTTCTGTCGTCTTACTAAAAGAATTGAAAATAAAAGAAATGGCCATTTACTCCACTTAAATTCTTTTATTTGACTACCCCTATTTGATATCACCTATAATTGAAAAGGAAAAAAGAAAAAACTGGTAGTCTGATCTTGCTTTCTCATGTTTTCTATTAATTAATTGCAATTTTGTTACGTAGTGGTATCATCAATGTAATATTTATAAATAGGAAAAAAGAGAGAGAACAATTTAGAGGGAATTGTATAGTTCATGGTATTATGATATATTTCAGTCTGATACATTTCAAATATTCATTTTTTACTTCAGGTTAATGTAATGTTGAAGGAATTTCCAGAGGAGGAATTGGGACCGAAGATTAATTTTAGGGAATATTCTTTCTTTGAAAATCCACTTTTGCCCCAGCAGGTGTTCCTCTCATCATCAAGTACAACAGAGATCACTCATTTCTTTCATTCATCGCTCAAACCCTGATTATTCCATTTCTTTCAGGTGAAAGAGTCCTGGCTTGAGGTGCATCTTTGTCAGGAGGGATCACAAGGTTGTCAAGTGTCAAACAGTACAAGTCGGGCCGGAGTTCTCGAGTTTCCAAAGCGCATGACAGAAGAAACGGTAATTGATTTTCTTGGTTCTTTTCGAAGTTAGGTTCTACTAGACACTCTACGTAAAAATGTTTCAGCACTGATAATACAAATGATCTTCGAGATTTCAATAAGAGCTTGTTTGTGAGGGATTTTTGGGGGAAGAATTGATTTTGAATAATGATATGATAGGAAATGTGTTGTTGAAAAAGAAGAAAAAATTATTGATGTGATGGAAAATAGTATATTATTGAAAAATGTGTGGTTGAAAATGAGAATTGATTTACTGTAGAAAAATTTAAATCTCTCCCAAACAGGGCCTAAATTTCAAAGAAAGACATCCACTCGTCAAATCGACTTCTATTTTTCATTTGGAATTTGTTGATATCCTCTTTAGAATCAACCATTGATTTTGTCCACTAATATATCATGCTTTATAATTGAAAAACAATCATGCTGGTGAATTGTTCTGTCTTACAAGGAAAAATTAGTTAAATCTTCAAAATATTTAGTTAAGCATTGAAACTGCATTTAGTTGTTCTGCACTATGTAAGATTGATGTTTCAACTTTCGTGTGCCCGTTCCATATTGTCCGCTCTATATCTTTTACAATATCTGGAGTTCATATTCAAGGACAACGTGTTAACTTTGACTTAATTGTTTCGAGCAGTTCAAGACAGTTTTCTCATCATTCAAGGATGTCAAAGTCATTCAGTTCTCCTCAATGCAAGATGCCTTTGTAGGTTTCACTGACAAGGTATGCCTTCTCTTTCTTTTTTCGTTTTTCGTTTTCCTTTTCAGTTCTAGATCTCATTGAAGTTTTTGGACACACTTGAAAGAATATATTATAGTACTTGATGCATATATTGCATGATCAGAACCGGGAGGAAAAATTCAGAAATCGAATGCGACGGTACGTGGGTATTTGGTGTTGCGTGGAGGATCACACTCCAGGCCACATATATTACGACATGTACTGGGACGAGAAGCCCGGTTGGAAACCAATTCCTCCCCAAACTCCACAAGAGGACCATCCCCCTCTTGAGACGTCTGTATAGGAAAGCGGAGAAAGATAAGCTACGGAATATTTGGAGCTGTTCCATATGCCTAACCCCCATTGGTTACACGAGAGACTTGTATCCATATCTATAGTTGGGGTGTTTTTACATTTATCTACAGCCGAGGATTTACCTTTTTTTCGTTTAGAATAGTTTCTTTCTATGCTTACTGTACAAGAACGAGAATATATTTGATTTCTTGCGAAAAATATTTAAGCACGAATAAAGGATATAAGCTAATCATTCAAGCATTGCAAATAATATCAAAATAATTATCACTTTTTCTGATCAGCCATAAACACTATTTATATTGGCAACCTCTTCAACAGAATTATTCAAGATTGGCTTGGAACACCTAATGCCTGCATTTGAACTCATGAAAACTTGTTGCATAAATATTTTGTCCACGAAATCCAAAATGAACAATCACAAATTTAGGCCCGACTCCAGAGAGAGCGAACAAAGTCCGAGCGCAAGAGCGGCTTGGTACGCCTTATTAAAAGACACTAGGTTTAGGCGCCGACAGAATGATCCATTATCCTCCAGATATTTTGTAAATGAAATCACTTGGATTCATGTAATTACTGGAATTGAACTCAACCGAAACGACCGTTCGAGTTCGATTCTACCCTTAACATTTTTTCAAAAAAATCTTGAACTCACAATTTAAATTATCTTCTCAATATCTAAATAGAAGAAATAAAATATCACCAAATACATATTTCAACATTTCTTAATCCACTGCAAATATATCAATAAATAGCATCAAATATCTAATAAGCATAAAGCGCAGTCAGAGTAGCTAGAAAGAAATATGTTTCAATTATTCAAATGAAAAAACTAGGGTACTTGCTATTTGGACATTGTAAACTCGCAAAATAAGCAAATTAAAAGTCAGTTTTGACTCATTTTCAAGTACAGCCAAACATTCTTAGTCAAAAAATAAATAAATCATGAAGTACAAAATCCTCCTCCTGGCTACTGCTCACAACATACATAGCGAAAACTGGTGTATAAAGCGTAATAGTTCGAGAAAATACGTGAAACTAATCCCAGTTGCAGCAGCCAACCAGTAAATATATAATAATCATTTCACCAAGCAAAAGAATCTATTGTTGTTATGCAGTAATAACTGCTTCGGTGAGAAAAGCACCTCTCATTCATCGACATTATCCATCACATCAGAACCCATGCAAAATACGAAGCCCTCTCCTCGTCAAGAATGGCAACCGTACAGCTTGTGGCAACATCTAGGTTCCAGTGAAAAAAGGTAATCCCGCAAGGTAAAATATGTTGATACTTAAGTTAATCGTCCAGGTAATAATAAGATCCAGCAGACTTCTGCTCCCTATCCTTGGTTGAATCCAGTTTGTTGATTCTTGGGCGGTAATTTGTTGGGTCTCGTCTAAAAGTAATGTCCAATTGCTGCATGCAAACGATTGAAAGCATTAACGCCTGATTAACTAGTGTAAAGATAAAAAAAAAATGAAATAAAAGTCAGGTGGCTCACAGATAAGAACAGGTTCATCCCAGTCAATAATGATTGGGGTGAATTGGCAGTACAGTCTACTGATGGTTTCCCCTCGAACACAATCACTCTATCAGCCAGGTATGTTGCCATGATGAAGTCGTGCTCGACCACAAATGCAGTTTTCTTTGCATGAAGTATAAATCTCTTTATGACTTTAGAAGCAACTATACGCTGCTCCGAGTCGAGATACGCACTTGGCTCATCTATCAAATATATGTCAGCAGGCTGCATAGAGACCAGAAAAGGATGAATCAGATTCAAAATGTAGATACAAAAATTTATACAGGTATGTTTAGCGTATTTGACACCTCAATGACACTTTTTTTTTTGGTTTCAATTTTATATTATTTGATCCATGAGCGCATACAAAGCCCATACACTGACGAAAACAGCACCTTCTGTATGTTTCATATAGTAGACAATACATGGGTGACTATTAACACACTGCCAAGGATCAAGTCTAAAAAACAATCTAAAAAACCATGATGCTTAAAAAGCACCAATGCATTTTGGGCTTTTTTGGGTAGTGTATATATAAACTTAAAAAGGTCCTTTCAAGCACAGACAAACGTGCTCTAAAGCTAACAAATTAAGCAAAATACAAAAGATGCCAAATCATTTTTTGAAGTCCTTGGATAAAGGCTATTATACAGGGAGTATAAAACATCTTCACGGTCTAGACTTGCGTCCTACAATATAATTCTTGGATGAAACATGGAAAGACTGACCAATTCAATGCTCAATATATGTCTTATCTTTGTCTATTCAGCATAAAGCTTGTAACTGCAAATACCGTTGGTAATGCAATCCTACTTCCACAGGCTTAGGCATCAAACTAACCAGCAATGTCATTAATTTTCTAGCTTCAGCCAACAAAATGCAAGCAAATACAAAGTAACAAAGTCAACACAAACACATTGACAAGAAAAATCCTAGGGAATAAGGAATGCATTTCCTTAGTTGTAAGCATAATTGTCGCCAGCCAACTGATATCAAGCTAATAATATTAGAATCAATCATTTGTCTATTTTCATAACAATAGCAGATTTAAAGCGAAATCTTAATAATATTTCTAATACTCAAAGAAAGTTTACCTTTCCAAGGCATAGGGTCAAGGCAACTCTTTGCAACTCTCCACCAGAGAGATTCACAACCTCTAGATCCATTAGCTGCTCAATTTGGAGTGGCTTCATAACATCAGACACAAACTGAGGATGCATATATGAATCACGAATTTTTTGATGTAGCAGGTGCCTGACACTATTTCGAAACTTTGGACTGATCTTCTGTGGCTTGTAAGAGACATTGAACTCAGGTATCTCCACATCAGAGCCTTCTACTGAATCAGGTTTCAATAGACCAGCCTGCCATTCAACAAGAAAGATAGTAGAATGCATTTTTTATAAATATTAACTAAATTTGCTGCACGTTTCAGGAAAAGCACACACAATAAAGAGGAAGAGTACCAGCATACGGATAAATGTTGTCTTTCCAGTCCCATTCTCACCAAGCATAACAATGATCTGAGAATCAGTAAATTCACCCTCAAAAACCTCAAGTTTGAAATTTCCCTGAGTTTTAATCATTGTTGGATATTTATATCGTGCATATGATTCGATTTCCTCAGCACTTTCTTGTGGAGCCTCAGCAACCTGAGAGGAAAAAAAAAAATCTATGTCGCCTTGTTGCATAAAAATTCTAGTCACTAGCACCAGAACACAATTTACCTTAAAAGTAAGAGATTCATCCCGAAATCTTAGATTTTCTGTGGGGACAAACCCAGCCAAAAATATATTAATTCCTTCTCTGACAGAGAACGGAAGGGTTACAACCCCATATGCACCAGGTTTGCCATAAAGGCAGCAAATGAAGTCCGATAAGTAATCCAGCACACTGAGATCATGCTCTACGACAACTACATAGCTGAGAAGCAAAATATCAACCATGTAAAACTCTTATATAGAAAGCTGAAACATTAAATAGTGAATAAGAGAAGAATACTGATAACTAGAAATGGGAAGAACATTGTAAAACCTATTAGCCCGGAGCAAAGATCTGATAACTTGGGCAGCTTTAAGCCTCTGTCTCACATCAAGATAACTCGAAGGTTCATCAAACATATAAATCTCGGCATTCAGTATTGCGACAACAGCAATAGCAAACCTCTGAAGCTCACCACCAGATAAATCTTCTACATTACGGTCCATAACCTGATTCAGCTCAAGATCAAAACAAAGTTCTGCTTTCATATCTCTCTCATCTTTTTGTTCTAGCACTTGGCCAACATTGCCTTGGATGGCTTTTGGAATGTGATCAACGTACTGAGGCTTGACAACTGCCTGCTCAGGAGAAAATTATATCATAGCTAGAGCTAGCAGAAAAATTACAGGCAAAACATACATTGATTGACACACTCGTGGCATGACAAATATTGACCTTGTGATGGAAGACAGGAAGCCAAACCATTGAATTGAACTTTTTTGAGCTGTCTTTTTGTTATATTTGTCCAACGCGATTGTATGCAATTGATTATTCAAGTAATTAATCATATCCACAAAAATATGGTGATTGAATTCCAAGTTTCAATACAAGAATTTGATTAAACAAAAGACGGGAACCACACAACAAATTAATTTTGGTGATCAAACAAGAAAGCACGTAGATCTATACCAAACCTTAATGTTTAATCAATTATTTCATAATCAGCATCAGTCTAATAGAAATATAATAGATATCACTTTTCGTCACATGATGAAATTTCTTCTTGTTAATTTTGAACCAACACAGAAAATTGTTCAAAAGGGATCTCTCGTTTCATAAAGTTCATCCTAAAAGGATTAACCAACATTCGGCAACTGAAAATGAGGCTAGCACAAGAACAGTGACACAGAAAATTTGTAAAATTTCGAGTTCCTAGCTATCATACACAAAGTTAGCATGTGAGCTGTAAATTTTTGTAATCAGGTACCATTTAGAAAGTGTGCAGCTTCCATAACTTATTGTGACGGCTTGGTACTAGCTCGGAGATATAAATAAAAGAAGTTTATCTAAAATAAGACAAAGAAGAGAAGGGGGAAAAAAAGGCACACAAAAGATATTAGATATATCATTCAGTTTTCACATCGATAAAAATTGCAATTGCTGGATACTGCAAGTCAGATGTGACACCAACAATTCAATTCTGAAGGTCAACTCGAATGCAGTTTTCACCACAATTGGTTGGTTCAGGACCCAATCTAGTGCTCCAAAAAAACAGATCATACTCTTATGTCTTGAGCAACTGGCTTTTTTTCTACGCCCAATAGCAAGTTTATGCTAGGGGATATAATAAATTCATAAGCCATCAATCACAGAACCAATATTATACAGTTACATTATCTATTAACCCAGGAAGAATGCAAATGAAACCATATATCATCAGACATTATTTATCAGAATAGACCTTCAAATTATCTTCCAACATGCGAGTAAAGTAATTCTGCAGCTCCGATCCTCGGAAGTAAGTCAGGATCTCTTGCCAATCAGGAGGGTTCTGCATGGAAAATTTGCAGAGTAATGGTATTCAGTGTGTCAATCTCATTGAGAGGAAGGGAAAACTTAGATGTTAACAAAGAAAATTACATTGAAGCGCCCCAAATTAGGTTTCAACTTTCCAGACAAAACTTTAAGAGCAGTTGATTTTCCAATGCCATTCGTTCCAACCAATCCAAGTACTTGTCCAGGTCTTGGGACAGGTAACCTGAGAGGAAATTTGCAATGATGATAAGTTTATCACAGCTAAATGTCAATTATCCCAGAAACTGTAGGTAATCTGATCTGACCTGTGCAATTTAAAGGAGTTAGGACCATAACGATGGGTAGTATCTTTATCCAAGTCTTTCGGTAGATTGATGATCTGGATGGCTTCAAATGGGCATTTCTGAAAAAACGAAGTAAACAGCGGTCAACCAGATCATCCAGCAAAATCATTGTCAAGCAATAAGCGACTGATATGAACATCTTGCATCACACAAACCTTAACACAGATACCACATCCAATGCACAACTCCTCCGAGATGAATGCGATTTGGGAGGTAGAAGTAACCTCAATGCAAAGTTTACCTGCAACCATACAGAAACATTGGTAGGCCAACAAATATGCCAACTATGGCAAATCAAATTCAATTCCACTAATGAAGAAACCATGCCATGTTGCACAAATTAGAAACTGGTTTCACCTCTATATAGAAAGTTTTTTCCGCTTTGGTAAACAGAGAGACCAAGAGACAAGGTTAAGACAATAGTCCATCTATATATACAAGCATCTTAAATTTCATTTCCCAGTTTGGTTAAGTAAGAGTGTAAGACCAAAATGCATTCACATTCTATAAAAATGAAAATAAAAGGGTAGGACTTGGAAGGGTAACAGAAAATCTTAGGTTAGATTTAACTGATATGTTGTGCAAAAGGGTTACACGGCTGCATTTGGATTTATGGGTTTCATTTCATGGTGCATTTACAAGGTTATGCCTCCATTACCAACACCTATCAATTATAATGTCCAAGAAGTCATATGATGAAGTTCCAAATAGTCTAAAATCCACAGATTTTAAAATGAACACTGCTATTATAAGGATTTCAAACTATTATATAGGGTCCTTAGTCAATCTGAATTAAAGAAATTTGAACTTGTTCGGATGGATATAAATCATTCACCAATACAATGACGCATTGGCAGTTTCTCTATGTTGTTTGGAGTTTGGACTGATGGGTTTGCCTTTCAGAACGGACTTCAGTTCGAGAAGATGTTATAAGCCTGAATGAATCCTAAAATTCTACTCATTCCTTTCAACTAGAAGGCTTGATTGATTATTTGGAATCAAGTTAACTATTATCCGAAGTATGGAATAAAACTCCATAATATTTTAGTTGTCATTATGACAATATCAAATTCATTAGCTATAATTTTTTGAGAAATTACCTGTTCCAGGCATTCCTCAAAGAATCTTTGACTGATCCTTCTTCTCATNAAAAATATACAATAAAGATAAGTATAGAAAAAAATCCACGGATACGAGGAAAATTACCAGTTTTGACAACAGGGCATGACTTTTTACACTCCTGACGGCACTTTTTCGGCCTGCACTTGTCGGAGCTCACTATGGCAATACGCGTCAACTTTTGATCCGACATCTCTCTGTTGCCTTTGTCTATTATTATATAAAAATTGGGGGGGAAAATCACATCAAAATCCCTAAACCGGATTGATTAATTAAATAAACAATATATACATACAGAAAAAGAGGAAAGAGAAGTACACGAGTATGAAATCAATTTTTTTATATAAAAATTGGGGGAAAAATCACATCAAAATCCCTAAACCCGATTGATGAATTAAATAAACAATATATCCATGCAGAAAAAAGAGGAAAGAGAAATACCCGAGTAATGAAAAAAAAAATTGTATAGATATGGAAGTGGAGAGAATAAAGGAGAGGCGGGTTGCAGGAAGTACGTAGATGTGACGCAATTGTATTTGGGTTCCAGGGTTTCAAGGGGACGAAAAACTTTTGACGTGGAAGCAGTAGTCGGTGTCGATTATAAATTAATTTTTTTAATATAATTTTTTGGTAAAATTATATCTATGCCCAGTAATATGCAAAATAGAGTCTTCGATCTTCGGTTTGCAGCGAGTAGATCCTTGCTTTTTATTTTTGTAGCACTTAATCACTTAAACAAGTTTACTTTGTCTTTAATTAAAAGGATAATTACAGCAAAAGTCCCAAATTTTATTTTAATCAATTAAAAAGGGACAAAATGATAAATATTTATTAAAATAGTTAAATAAAAGGATTATTGAATAAAAATTTTAAAAAAGAAAAGGAAAAGAAAGGATCTCTTCACCCCCACGAACCCCACACCCAACCACAAAACCAACCCACATGTCTCTCATCACCGGAGCCAACAGAAATCGACTTCTCAATCCAAAGCTCCACTTGTCGATACAATCATCACTTGTCGCATACCAGACTAATACAGAGCCGAACCTTCATATTTCAAAGACTCGCCCAAATTTGGAGGCACGATTTGATGGCATGAACCTTCTAGCTCTAGTGGCAAGATTTCAACTTCAAATATTGGCCCAAATTTCAGTCTCCTTATTAAAATCCTCACGTTCAATCGTCTCCCCTCTCTCTCCCGCTGCCTTAAATCTATAGTTAATTTATTTTATTTTTTTTTAAGTGGAAATTTGGTGAGAATTTAATGTATTATCAAACTTCAAATGTTGGGTTCGGGCTTAGTGGAATTAGTTGAATCCGTGTGTGGATCGCAAATTGGGAATTCAATTGCCCTTTTAAAATTAATTAAAATATGATCAAACGTAATTTTGGTGATCAACTAACGAAAAAATTGATGGAAACCATCCAAAAGGGCCTCGTATGCAATGGTTAGAAAGGTTATGGGTGACAACTGCAACAAGTCAAAAGTTTGGAAAAAGTCTGCTAATATTTCAAAGGTTTGGAGTTTTTACTAGCAATTGTTCCTTAATTAAATAAAAAGTTATTCATTAAAAACGAGTTTAAATAAAAATACATAATTAAATAAGAGAAAAGAAAAGAAGGGGAAATATGGAAAGAAAAATTGATTTCTAGAACATGTTGAGCTTATTTTGACGATTTTAAAGAAAAATAAATAAATCCTATACAAAATACAACAGGCAGTTGGAGAGGCCCTGTTCATGCCAGATGTCAAGAATTTGAATCGTCAATCAACACGACGCCGTTTTGTTAACCGTCTTTTCCTACTACTTCACACCACTTCTGCCCTATTTTGTCTGCTTACCATTTTCAATCACCTAGATTTCAGTCTGCTCGTAGGAAATTCGGTCGATCAATAATTAGTGAACAGTATTTACAAATAATTAAGAACAATAATTAAGAATAATATTTACCAGTAACGATTCTAAAGAATAATTAGAGAAATTCGACAAGGAATTGAGTCGGTGAGCACCCAAGAATAATTTTCTTGGCAACGTTGATCTGGGCGGTTTTCGGGTCATGATTTTGACCGAATGCAAGTGACAATTGAACTTCAAACTCCTCCAAGAAATTAAATCCTACTATTAGAATTTAAATTAGAAACAGAATTCTTATTTTTCTGTGAATCTGGAGCAGGTTGAGTTCAAATCGAGTTCTGGTCAGATGAAGGTTAAGATGGCAACGAAGATTGAGACAGTGTCGCGTGTCTCCGTGCGCAACGAAGACACCGTATTTCCGTCTCGCAGGGAGACCTTTGGTTGGTGATTTCTTAATTTTCATTTAGCTGCAGAAATTTCAAAAGTTTTTATTTTGATTAATAATCTGCGATTCATTTCTCTCCATTACAATTTTAGAAATGAATTGGGTTTATGATTCTAATTCCCTTTTTTTCCCAATCTTAGGTATTTTCTACAACTAATAGAGTTGAAGGAGCATCGGCAGATTTCTTTTTGATCAATGTTCATCTTATAATTCACAGAACATAAACTATCTTTTATCATCTGTATATGCACTTCGTTGTTATACATCTTAAGTTCTTCAGAAATTTATTGATGTGTTTAGATTGGATAATTTGTACAGGATTATTATAGACGAGGTGCTGCGTATTTAGGATTGGGCAAGTTTAAAGAAGCTTGGATGGAGATAAGGAGAAATGCCTCCGCCCAAGTGGGCGGAGGCATCTCCCAAGTGGACGGAGGCATGGTGGACGGAGGCATGAGTGGACGGAGGATGGAGACATGAGATTCCTCCGTCCTAGTGTGGACGGAGGCATCTCATGCATCCGTCCGCGTGTACGGAGGCAAGGTCCCTGCCTTAGCAACGTGCCTTCACAATGATGCAAGTGCCCATTGGGCCTGTTGAACTGGCCCAGCTGGAAATCTTTGGAGGCCCAGTTACTTGTTTATTCTGTTTGGTGCTAGAAAACGTGTACCTTGAAGATGAAATCGTGTTTCTCACTTACCTGATGAAATGAACGCCTATGGAGTCACCACGTGTCGCCTCCAACGCCGTTGGATTGGCGACTGTTGTGTGACCCATTTAAAAGGGCTTCTAGGGTTTGAGTCTCATTTGCTGCTTCTTCGAGAGTCTTCCATTTTCTCTCTTACAGTGTGAATCGTTCTCTCGAGCTTTCTCTTCTTCTCTGCAGAAATCAAATCTTCTCTTGTGATTTCTTAATCTCTCTCAATAGTGGGTAATCTTTAGTGATTCCTTTGAGTAGAATCTGTTCTTGTGTGAACTATAGTGTACGGTTGAAGAGAGATCTTGAATCCAAGTGTGGACGGAGGCATCTCATGCCTCCGTCCGCGTGTACGGAGGCAAGGTCCCTGCCTTAGCAACGTGCCTCAGTACACTGGAATGGAGGCACGACGTGCCTCCGTTCTCGTGCACGGAGGCACACAATATGATTGAGAAATGATCTCTACCTTGAGATTTGATCAACTTCTTTTAAGCACAACCAAACATACGCAGGTTTTGTGCTGTAAGCCAGTGATTTTCTGCTAAATTATCCATTCTAAGTTATTTGAATGACTACGAGTCTATTGTTCATTACATTATTATTTTGCAGTAGAAATTTGAGGAGGTTTAATGATCATCACATGTTTCACTTTTTGGGTACTTCGGAGGTTGATGTCCTTCCTCTAGAATTCTGTTCACAGGAATTTTCATCAATTTGCTCTTCTTCTTCTTTTTTGTTTTGTTTTGTATCTTTGTCTCTTACCTCAGTACTATCAAGTGGAATGCTTTGCATTTATTCATCATCATAAATCAGTGAAGTTACATTGAAAATTTAAAAACCATTTTCTTTGGGGACTATCGATGACAATTTTTTAGGTATTCACTGCATGTACGCTAGGGTTTAGATGAAACTTTTAGCATATTGGAAATTAGTTGTAAGTCCTGAATTGGGAAAACACGCCCAGTTACACAGTGAAAACTAAATTAAGGGGTTATACTATGATGCAACATTAGCAACACCAGTTGAACCCCATTAGAGGAAATTCATTATTTACTTCGTCAAACTTACTTTTAAGTTCCCAAATGTAATTTTCAAAGCTCATTTTTTACTAACAAAACTGACTTTCTAGAAAAGTTAACTTTTAAGCCAAACAAAACATGCTCTACATAGATTGCTTACCGCATATGTAAATTTAACTGTGGTTAGGAAATTTACATTACATGTTTGGTGTAATTCTTCTCTGTTTTCTTGCATCACCTAATTTCTGTAATGCACTGTGATGATAATGATCAGGCTTCAGCCAGGCCTGCATTGGTATGCACAATAAGACTTTGCACCTTTAACCCAACCTGGGTAAATCAAAATCTGATTTCCTGCTTTCATGTTGATCTTTTTATTTTTAATAACTTATGAGATGGTAGACATTAAAGAGTGTCCATTTTGTTTTTGAGTTTTCAACTACAGAAAATGTTGCTTGGATTTATGGGTTGACAGATTGGTGTAGACTGAGATATGGAAGTTCGATGAAATAAAAGAGCTCTAGCAAATATTACAACTACAGAAAAAGGGAATTGCAATTTAACATAATTAAATTAATAGATTAATAGATTAGATATGAGATAAATATAATGATATCTTACATTTTTGTTGATAGTCACATGTTTATTTCAAATGGCAACATCATTATAGAACATTTTCATCACAATTATTTGTACCTTTTAATTTTTACTTCCCATAATAAATTATTTCCTTTACCCATTAATTTAGCTCTGATTATTTCCTTCTCACAATTTCTCAAATATGTGAAGCAAAACATTTGCTTGACTTTCATTATGCATATTCCAAAATACTAAAAGTGAAACATGATCAACAAATTACATACTTTGTTATAATGGACTAGGATCCACTCTGCCAGCTAAACTTATCTTATAAATAGATTATGTTGTCCATGTGACACATTTAGGTAACTCCTTCATTTATGAACCAGTTAATTTTGAGCAATGTTTAGCAAGTTAAGAAGGTACAAAATGAGTATGCAACTGAGCTTTTTGTATGTTTATATGCAGGCCTACATAGAAAAGGAGGATAGCAAGAAACTGAAACAAGAGCAAGGTGAAAAGATGCAACCAAAAATGGGAAAAATGGATATTGACTACCAAGTTTTATATGTTCTTAATCTCAAAACTATACGGGCCCCACAATCTCTCTCAATGTTGTATTTGTTTCAACTGGTGGCAGTGTATGAAGTTCTTCAGTCACTTGTTTTTTTATTTTTCTCTTTGTATTTTTTTCACACTTCACTTCTCATACAAGTCATCCATGATGCCTTCTTCAAGCATCAGACTAAACTGAAATTGACAGCACATGGTGACTTGTATTATGAAGGGAAGGAATTTGAGGTATTTAGTTCACTAGAAATGTTTGTCAGCGACATTTTTTTTTTTCATCTTTAATAGATGTTTTGGATAAAGCCAACGAGTATGTAAGTGGATGATGATGATTTTTTTTTCAAGATATGTGATTGTTAATTTAAAACTTTTATCTTTTACGATTTTTTGGATGAGTAAAATATCACATTGTATTTTTTTTCTAAGTTTTACTTCTTCATTCCTGGTGCAATGCTTAGTCTGTTTTTAGTCCTTCACATTGTTGTTGCAAATATGGGGACATCAAGTTTATCACGTTTGAAACTATGGAGTGCAAGAAAAAATATTTAAAACTCCTCAAGTCTGTGGAGATAATAATTGTCAAAATTGTACATGCTATTTGTTCTACTTTTAACTTCCATTTGAATTACACAGCTAAAACTTCAAAAAATGAAACCAAGAACTTTGTCACAGGAACTAAAAGAAGCTCTTGGAATGGCCGGTGCTCCACCTCCTTGGCTCATCAATATGCAGGTTGGAGAAGATAATACCTCATTATATTTCTTCTGTTTGTTTGATCAGTATATCTTTCAAAATATTGGAGGAACTTTTGTTTGTTTATTTGTTGGATGGAGGCATGAACAAATGCCTCCATCCAAGGAGAAATGGAGGCACAATTTTTTTTTTTTTTTTAAGACACCTTCATCCATCTCGATATGTTTGCTTCATGTATGTGAATGAAACGTGCTTAATGTTGTTGAAATTCTTTACTTATACTTCATATCCTCTAAGAGTAAACAAATTGATCTTTCTTAATCGAAGTTACTTCATGCCTTGGATTATTGACATTTTCAAATAAAGTAAGAGGTGGGAAAAGATTATTGGCTTTTGCAACTTAAAAATCTCAACAGAATGAATTTGTTTATTGGTGCCGGACAATAGTTTCTTTGGACTACTCTTGGACATAAATGCCTCTTGTTTATGATGTTTGGTAGTATGGATGTACTTATTAGACTTTGGAGGTTTATATGTACTTCAAGCCTCTGGATATAGCATGCCCTTCTCTGTTATTGCCGAGTTGACTGCTGATTCAGGATGCAGCCAAGGTACTCCTAGAGTCTTCTTTCTTCTATCTCTACTATTTGATGAAGCTATTTATTTGGCCATTGGAGTACTAAATCTTTCTATAGTCTTACCTCAGGTAGTTTATTGTCGTTATTGCCGGTTGTGTGTTTTGCTTGATTATGAATGTTGAATAGGCTTTGGCCAACTAATGTAGATGATAACTAAAACAAAATATAGGCTTTGCTCCACTAGATCTTCTTTTAAGTTGGAAACTCTGAAATTAGAGACAGTGCTTTCATTTCTTGGTCTATGTAACTATGCTACCAGAATAAAGAATAATAGTTAAACTATAGTTGGATAATGTATAACAAATTGTTTAAATTTTGGACTTGCAGAGAATGGAGAAGGCAGATTCAAGCAGAAGATCATCAATGAACCAGCTGAATTCCCTTCCTGTCCATTCTTGCAAAGGATGTTGAGAATCTTGCAATGAAAGAAAATGACATATTCAGTCCTACCTTGAGGAGATGACACCCTTTTGCTGCAGGTGTTGCTGTTGCCACACTACATGCTATATGAATAAGCTGAAGCAATTTATTACAGGTATAACAGAGTTAAAGCTTGAAGCTACCGTTCTCCTGTATATGGAATAGAGTGAGTAGTGAGGAGCCTATAAATATTTGATCCGTTATTCTTTTCCTATATTAGTTTGAATTGAAGCAAATCAAAAACTTTCTAACTATGTTCAATCTTTCTATCTTAAGCACTAGGTTCTTTTAGCGCTAGATATTAACTTGAACATTTGGTTCAATAAATGATAGAAAATTCAAAATAACACTTTGATGCTCACTCCGTCTTTTTGAGCTCTCCCAAAATTGAAGTTTCCTTCTTTGTATATTTACATTCTAAACTTATGAGGAGAATAAAAGACATGCAAGTCATTCCACAACATAGTTGCTTTGTTTTATGTCAAAGTAGACCGCACGAAGTATTATTTCTATTCATTAAAAAATTTTGTACTGTATTCGTTATAGTACATATCATACACGCTATTTAGTACAGAACTAAACTCGAACACGTGCATTGCACGTGCCTCCACTAGTAATTAACTAAAAAGATCATAAAGGAAAGGACAATATGAAAAGAAAAACTTGATTTCTAGAATAATTTATTTTGACTATATATTATTTAGTCAAAAAAATAAATATATGATTAATCGAAAAGACGTTACGACAATCAAATTAAGTTTCTTTATAACCTTATCGATCCATTTATCGAGACATCGTTAGCAGTGTCTTTGTATGTCATTTTATAAATTGCTATCTAGATCGCATACAAGTTGAAAGTCTTTCGATTTTGTTACGATGTTAATGGATAGACACTTTGTCTAAAATGGTCTCCATTGACTTCTATCTACGATTGATGGTGCAAGTGTATCTTCCATGTTCTTAAATGTAAAAAATTTAAATTATATCTAAATATTGGATGTGATATATAAATTTGGAAAGAAAATATAAATTCTGATTAGTTAACTTGTCTAATATTATCTCCAATACAAATGTATATCTTCAAAAACTTGTGCCAAGACAAAATAGATGACATTTGAAAAATATTATCTTCAATGCAAGCTAACGACGACCTCGTCAATTCGAGGTGATTGTCTAGATCTTCATCTAGATTCAAAAGCTTAGTTAGACATGATACTCAACAAAAAATTTATTTTTCTATGCATGTTTAAATTAGGGGTGGGCATTTTTCTTGGAACCGTGAATTCGGTCCGGGACCAGATAGAATCGAGGTTCCTCTATTAAATGGGTCGACATTGGAGCCATACATCGAGAATTGATGAGTTCCGATCTAGTTCTCGTTACTGCCTTGAGAGTTAGCACGAATCCGATTTTTCCGATTTTTCACTTGTATTGAGATACACTAGATTTTTAAACACTAAACTCGAAAATTATCTTACGTTAAAATTATGATTTCCATACGCTTCTTCTTCTTTCCTTTAATGGGTAATCAAAATTCAAGTCTAAATAATTTTATAAATTTATAGTTTTGATTTAACATAGTAGGAAAAATATATTTTTAGTTCAATATTTCATAAGAGTTCAAATTTATAGTTGTTTCCAAAGTGAATGGCCATCAAGAATCATAATCCTTAAGAATTACTAAAAATAATCAGGCTATTTTTATATGAATTTTTTTAAGAATTAATTTTTGATAAGATTTTACCATTTGTGTTGTATTTAATAATTTATTATTTTTTCGCCTGAATAAATTGATCTTCAGTTTTGGAGTCGATTTTTATTTGTTGCATTGTTTAATAGATTTTTTTTATTATTTTATTGATTGTAAGAATGACAGTGGTTTCATACTCTATGTTTGTCTATTTACAATTTGACAAGTAATTTCATATTTTATTTTTGTAATTTTTTCAATATAAAGAATCGGATCAAATCGGAAACGGTTGGTTCAGTTCCAGTATTATTCTATAGTTGGATATGAAATCAATGGTTCCATTTCTAAGATTTTTATTGGTAATCGGTTCGGCTTAGTTCCCTTTAGAATCGAACCGAATCGGACCACGATCACTCCTAATTTAAATTTCCAATATAAATGTGATTTTTTTTTATTTTAAGAAAATGAAATACAATGTTATGGCGATGTGTAGAATTAATAGGGGAGCGGTTTTGAACTCGACGATGTATTAACTAGACATCAGTATCACGAAGATCGAAAGTCGTTCAACTTGTGTCCACCTAGACGACGGTCCATAGAATGCATTTAAGATACTTTAATATATTCTATGAATTTAGATGAAACTCTAGGCTACGTGTTTTTTTAATTTTCTATATTAGTTTGATAAAATATCCTTCAAATTTCATTGGTGAGAAATTAATTTGAACACTGTCTATTTTTTCTTATGTGGATTATTTTTTTAATTTCATGGAAGCACTGGAGATGATCTTAGAAACAATATATATATTTTTTACAGACGAAAAAATGAATGAAATTGATCTATTTATTATATAGTGTGTCGTTGCTCTTCGAACAACCACAATGAAAATCAAACGTTAGAATAATTAGGAGTTATGTACATAAATGATTTATGATGTAGTTCATGGTTAAAAATTTAAAAATCAATCAGTAATAATCGAACGAGGACAGATGAATTTTTTGATCAAGTCATGTTGTTTTTTGAAGTATGATTTTTTTTAGGGATAATTGCAGTAAAAACCTCACACATTTGAAATATTAGCAGACTTTCTCCAAACTTTTGATTTGTTGCAGTCGTCACCCTTAACATTTCCAACCATTGCATATGAGACCATTTTGGATGGTTTCTATCAATTTTTTCGTTAGTTGACCACCAAAATTAAGTTTGACCATATTTTAATTATTTTTAAAAGGGCAAAATGGTAACTATCTGTTTACCACATCAAATAATTGAAAAACTTAAATAAATAAAATAAATAAAAGAAAAATATAAAAGTTCGCCTTTTTTACCCGACCCACCCAAAAATAAAAATCACACAACTGTCTTCAACCATTGGTGCCAATGTCGGCGTCGCCTCCACCGCAAACCGCTGACAACACCCTTTTCGGCTACACCCATGCTGGCTGCAACCCCCTTTTCGGCTAACACCAATGCTAGCAACCACCAAACGGACTCCTCTCAAGCCTATCACATTCAATTTGATGCATCCAGCATGTTTCAAGCCATGAATTCAACTAGAAGAAATGCAATTCTAGTTCTAACAACTATGGAAACACACCAATTGAATTCCCAATTCGCATCCCACACACGGATTCAAATAATTCTACTAAGCTCGAACCCAACATTTTGAAGTTTGATAATACATAAACTTCTCACCAAATTTCCACTGAAAAAAAATTTAGCTAGAGATTTAAGGTAGTGGGAGAAAGGGGGGAGAGATTGAAGGTGAGGACTTTAATGAGGAGAGTGGAATTTGGGCTAGTATTTGAAGTTGAAATTGTGCCACTAGAGCTGGAAGGTTCGTGCCACCAAATTTGGGTGAATCTTTGGAAGCTGAAAGTTCGGCCATGTATTAATCTGGTATGGGACAAGTGATGATGGTATCGATAGGTGGAGCTCTGGGTTGAGAAGTTGATTTCAGTTGGCGCCGGAAATGAGAGACGGGTGGAGTGGTTTTGTGGTTGGGTGTTGGAAATGTTAGGGGCGACGATTACAACAAATCAAATATTTGGGAAAATTCTGCTAATATTTCAAGGGTTTGAGGTTTTTGTTGCAATATCCCTTTTATTTTTTAAATGGGAGTGCAAGAGAAGAAGACATACCGATCCTTGAATCTGTAACTTCAGTTTTAAAAATACAAACTTGTGAATATGAAACGTATATTCCCAAAGTGGAATCCTCGACGTTTTGAAAGGAAAGAGAATATCTCCAAGACATTTTCACCACTTGGAAAAATTTGAATGCTAGTTTGTGTACTAAAATGTTTGCAGAATAATAGTATTCGTGACAAGATTCAATATGTTGTTTTATTAGAAGAAATAAGATTTTAATGACGAATAAACAATTAGAGGGCGATTAGATTCACATCACAATTTTTGTTAACTGTACCATATTTTTAATTGTAATAAAAGTTTTCAATTCTTGTTTATTTTTGCATTTAAGTCCTCAACTTTTTCATCGTATTTTTAACTTTAGCATTCAATGGATTAGGATATATTGTCCATAATGACTTTCTGTTTTATATTCTATTTACGTGATGAAATGTTTTAAACTCCTCATTTTCTCATGAATATTTTAAATTCATTTTACCCCATACTCATTTTCAATCACATGTTTTAAAAAAAAAAAATCATTTTCACGTTTTTTCGTAACTTTTCTCAACTTTTAATCTCACAATCTTAAAAAAAGAAAATATCACTCGTAATGCTTTTGTGAAATTTATTATTGGTTTTTTTATTTTTTATTTTTGAAAAAAATGTGTGATTGATAAAAAAAAAAAAAAATTATGCGAGAACAGTAAAAATGATTTTTTTGAAGAATGCATGGTTAAAAAATAGGGAAAAGTTATGGGTCCCATAGAATATGTGGTTGAAAATGATTTTAAAATAATCTCTCCCAAACATAGGCCTAACAAACTTAATATAATGTATACTGCATACTTCCATTATTTTTTCAATAATATTAATAAACTTGCAATATGTACCCATATTAATTTTTCTAACCAAGAGCTAATATTTTAAAAGGAATTCCATGGGGAACTTTGAATAACAGGGTATATTTAGTACTTGGAATGAATCCCAGACAATCATATTAACTATTTGATTTTGCAACTTCAGAAAATATAAGATATAAGTGAGCCATCTGAGGTTCCAAATTATGGTGTATGTGAACCCAAACTTTGAATTAAACTTCAAGTATTTCCATTTTGACCAAATTCAACTTGATAAGAGTTACAAAGGAGCTCTGACAAAGAGTAAAGGACATGGAATTATCCTTATAGAATAATATATTCAAAGAGGGAGAAAAAAGTGCATACACAAAATTATAATTTCAAATTTGATATGAAATGAGTTCATCTAAAATAATATAAAAAATTCACAACAAAATATTTAACTAACAACTTCACACTTCGTTAATAGGAGTACCTTCTGAAGAACATATCCATCATGTACCGGAGTCACGGTAGTTGACCCTCCACCACTGAATCCACCAAAAGTTTCATGAGCTAGCAAGTAATCTTATTAATATCACACAAATGAAAAAATTAAAGAAAGAAAATAGATGACTGAAATTTTTGGTTTCTAAATTGCATGCGGGAAGAATGAGTCATTAGAACAAAAACATATATATCATGTCTTCTTTAATTTCTCTGTCTGAACCTTTTCTTTTTCACTATCACAGTGTCTGTGCAGGTTATACTTTATTTTCAGTAGCATCTTTAACTTAATATGAGAGCAATAACTCACTCCTATTTTGACACTTTTGAATAAATGAAAGCCTGACATTCAAAAGATAGGTTATACAAATAAGCAAAGTTATGAAATAATTTTCTAGTATTATATGCTTAAACAATGTACAGCATATAGGGACGATTGTTAGTGTATCATCTGTGCATGCACAGTTCTGTACTCAGAGGATATGACCTACATAAAAAGTAAGCCCTACGGGCACAAAGGTAATACAAAGCATAAAGACAAGAGCACGAGTCATCGGAAATCAAGCATCAATAGAGCCTCAAACCAGCTTACAGCACTACCATACAACTCATGCCTATCAATAACTAGAGTAATGGCAGCAAACACAATCCCTAATATGCAATGGGGGTAAAACCTCTGCCAATAGATAGGTAAAGGTGGTAGCAAAAATATTCCAAAAGCTCCAAGGCCTTGTCTGGGCCAGCTTTTTCAGTTGATTATTAGTGATTTTTCTACCGTTGAATGGTGCAACGGTACAAAAATCAAAGGAAGCTGCTGACTTCTGTGTCACAATTGTCAGAGGAAAACGGATAGAAAATCAATTTTTAACTTTCAAAATCAAGACCAGACACCCTCCAAATATGCTGTTCTAATATGGAAGTCACTGTCACTAAACATTATACTACACAAAAGGCAAGAGGTGATAATTCAAAAATTGTGTATAAGCTCCAACCTGTCAACGACTAAAGAGGTTGCACGGCCTGACGCAAAAGATGTGAGGACCTGGCACAAGCAAATAGAAAATTGTGAATGAATAGTTATATATATAAAGTCTCAAATAAATAGGAAAAACAAGTAATGCAGG